ACGGCTCACAAGCCTCATCGCACTCTCGTGCGAACGGACTACTAAATAAAGCATCCAAACCTGACTCAATGACCTGAACAAATGGAATATCGACGCACTACCCCCGTAGTACTGAACTGAGCTCATCAACGATATCCAGAAGGTGTGTGTATAGTATGTTCTAAATTCTTTCTTAAAGTAATTGGGTCTTAACCCTTCATAATCCCTCTCAGAAACCCCAAGTGTGTACTACTGCACTATTCGTGAAAATATGTGTAAAGAAGTATGGCTCGAAGTCCGCGATCACATCTTAAGTAGACATAAAACAAAACTCAGGAAAAACAGCCTTTGTAGTCGACTACAAGGATTAGTAGTCGACTACTCTGAGTCAATCCAAACTCTATCAAAACAAATCTACTGTTAGTAGTTGACTATTAGGGTCAATAGTCGACTACTCTGCTATAACTCAGTTTTCTGTGTTTCGAAGGTTTGACAGAGTAGTCGACTACTCTGCTTAGTAGTCGACTACACTGTGAAAACATGTATACTTACGTGCAAAAACAGGAAATTAACTTAACATACACTTATCACTTTATATTTACATGATTTAAACTTGTTAAACATATAGTAATAACTATTCTGAGCAAGACAACAATGTATAAATTTGTCTAGTTAGGGTTTTACATCAAAATTAATCATTTTCTTCAATTGATCAATATGTAAACAATATGATAATAATAACATGATTTAAAATCTACATATGAACAGAGATCAATCTTGTTTCAAATTCTGATTTTACAAAACCTAGATGTCACAAGTCTAGGGTTAAACTTCTTTAAACATCATGTACATTCAATTAATTACATATCTAGGGTTTAGGCATGATCTAAACATGATTAACGGATTAAAAGTAAAACTAAAAGCATCACAATGATTATGATCACAAACTATATACAACAGCAAGAAAAAAAAAGTATAGATCTAGCATGGGTTTATGAAATAACATAAAAATCTAATCTTTTTATATCTCATATTAAGATCATGCATATAAACATCAATATTTAACTTCTAATCTAGTTATTTAACTATGGGGATGAGTTTGGATGAAGATAATCTTGCCTCAAGGTGCTGTTGGACTCCTCAACCACGTGCACGCAAGATATCTCTTCTCCAAAACGCCAAACCTCGCCTTCTTCTTGACAAACTTCTCAAGAACACTCCCAAAATTCTCAGTTTAGGGTTAGGGTTTGAGGAGGAAGGTGGCTGGTGATAATCTTATGTGAAATAGGGTAAAAAGAGCTTTAAAACGAATATATATACTTAGGATAACAATTGGGTTTGGATACAATGTAAATCTAACCCGAAAACTGAAACCTGGCACGTCCAAGAATTCCCGATAGTCGACTACTAAGCATAGTAGTCGACTACTAAGTAATACACAGGTTTCTAAAATCTATACATAGTATTTTGGTGATAACTTTCTCATCCGACCTCAGAATAAGGTGATTAAAGATTTGTTGGAAAGCTGTTGAAAAGACCTACAAATTTGTTCTTTTGAGTTTTCCCAAATTCTAAGTGTATAATTGTGTAAAATCTATAACCTCTTGACTGGTTATTTTTCCCAGATTTTTCTCGTGCATGTTTTGTGCATTTGCACTCATATATTCATATATATGTATCGAATTGATCTCAAATCAATTTCTAGCATACACAAATATCAATAAACGTTATTTATTACAATATAACATGTTTATTATTATATCTCACAATATTCAAAATTACGGGGTTTTACAGTTGTAATATTTGAGTTCTTTTCCGCACTTTGTACCAGATAAAAAGAGAAATTTCTCCATCTCTTGAGGGTTGTTGGTTATGATTATGATGTGCTTACTATAGAAAGTGTTTGAATTTGTATACAAACGAAGATGATAAATGGCCTATACAAAGGAAAAGGATAAAAATATTCAGCAGGGATTGTGGCTGCATATGCAGCATATGCAGGTGCTATTATGACAACTAATATCTACCAAGTGGAGTATATAGATAGATCAATCTTAGCTCAAAAAGATGAACATAGGAACTTACTTATGGAGTGACTTACTCAACAAAGTGATAGAGATTGTCGTGAACAACTACGCATGGGAGTTAATGCTTTTGCTAGACTGTGTTAGTTGCTTAGGGAGACGAGATGTCTTTATGATAATAGACGCAGTTCTATAGAGGAACAAGTTGCTAAGTTCCTTCAAATTCTTTCTCATAACTGGAAGAATTGAGCAGTGAAGTTCTATTTTATGCGTTCGGGTGAGACTGTTAGCCGCCACTTTCATAAAGTATTAGAGGCATTACTATCGCTTGAGGATCAATTTATTAAACAACCAGATGGCTTCGAAGTTCAACTAGAAATTCAGACAAATCATAGATTCTGGCCCTATTTCAAGGTAAAATATAAAATTTTTGTAATAAATATTACATCATGATAATAATAGTCAAGTTGCTAATCACTTTGTTAATCTATTATAGAATTGTATTGGTGCAATTGATGGATCTCATTTTTGAGTGAAAGTGAAAAAATAAGATACAAGAAGGTATCGAGGCCGAAAAGAATTTTCAACTCAAAATGTGTTTGCCACTTGCACCTTTGACTTGAAATTCACATATGTTCTAGCTGGTTGGGAAGGGTCTGCTTCAGAGTCGCGGGTGTTGAACAATGCATTAATACGACAAGACAAAATATTTGTTACTCAAGGTGACAACTCTTAGGTCCAATCATTTTCAAGATCAGATAAGGCATTGTTTACATAAATACACTTTAACTGTTAATTTTTGTTCAATTTTAGGAAAATACTATTTAGTTGATGGTGGTTTTATGCTGAGGCTGGGATTCCTTACACTATTTAGGAGCACGCGTTATCACCTCAAGGAATATTCAACAAGACAACCTGAAAGTCCTCGTGAAGTGTATAACCATCGCCACTCTTCACTATAAAATGCAAATGAAGAAGCGATTTCCAATCTTGGGTAGTGGAACAAAACCTCATTATCCAATTGAAATATAAAAAGGTATCATTTATGCATGTACTATCCAACATAATTTTCTAATGGGTGTTGATCCTGACGAGGGGCTTCTTGAACAAGTTGATCAGGAAGTTTTGAACCAGATGATAGATGTTGAAGAAGCTCCTGTAAATGATAATGAAGAGCATAGACGAGGAGAGATTCTAAGGTAACAAATAGCCGATGATATGTGGAGAGATTATTAGAAATATTTTCATTCTTCAAATAAAAAGTAAATGTGTTTTATTTGCTCTGTGTTTTATTTGTTCAGTTGCATTTAAATTGGGTGGAGAGATTATTAGAAATATTTTCATTCTTCAAATAAAAAGTAAATGTGTTTTATTTGCTCTTTGTGTTTTATTTGTTCAGTTGCATTTAAATGGGTATTCTCTCCATACTTTGTATCTAGTTGATTTCTACTAACACTACTACTACTAATGACATATTATATACTATATATATATATTATATATTAGTATATATATTATATATATATATATATATATATTATATATTCTGGCCTATTTATTTACATACTATAGTATATATATATAAATATATATATATATATATATATAATATATATATATATATAGATATATATACTATATATATATATTATATATATATATATATATATATTATAGTTACGTATATTATATATATATATATATATTAGTATACCTATATATATATATATATATATATATATATAAATATAATATATATTATTATATATATATATATATAATATATATATTATATATAGATATATATATATATATAATATATACTATATATATAGTATAATATATATATAATATTTCCTATATAGTAATATATATAATATATACATGTAATCGTATATATTAGTATATATATAATATATATATATATATATATATATATATATATATATATATAATATATTATATATATATATATATATATATATATATATATATATATATTATAATAATATATATATATAATTATATATATATAGATATTAATATAATATTATATATATAATATTATATAATATAATAGATATAGGTATATACATATAATATATATTAATACTATTATAATATAGTATAGGTATATACATATATACATGTATTATAATATATATAATTATATATATATATTATATATATGATATATATATATAAATATTATATATAAATATATATATATATTAAATATATATATATATATATATACATATATAATATACATGTATATATACATGTAATATGTATAATACCAATCTATATATATTATATACATACATATATAATATATATATATATAATAATATATATACTATATATGATATATATATATAATATTAATATATATATATATATATATATATATATATATAAAGTATATATGTATATATATAATAGTATCCCTATATATATTTATACATGTACTGATATATATATACATGTATATATTATATATATTATATATATATATATATATATATCATTATATATAAATAGATACATGTTATATATATCTGATATACATGATATATATGTATATAATATATATATATATATATATATATATAATATTATAATAATATATATATAGAGAGAGAGAGAAGAGAGAAATTATGGGTATGCTTAGGTGCCAAGCAACAAATTTGTGCCTTGCGTAGTGATGTGTCACATCCCCATCTACTCATTACCCATGTGAATGCGCGTCCCACATTTGAATGAGTGGAGGGGAGATGTGACACCTCACTACAAGCACAACTTTCTTGTGCTTCGGTACCAAAGCATACCCATATATCTCTTATATATATATATATATATAATAATATATATATATATAATATATATATATATATAATAATATATATGATCATTATATATAATATAATGCTTCGCTTGTCAAATACGCACTATCTACCGAGGCCGAGCGAAGAAACTTTATTGGGATACTAATTCATCGAAGGAAAAGGTGGTTGGAGATTAAGCTTGGATGGGCATCACACAATCTTGGTATCAGTACTAGGAGGTAATTTTCTAATGAAACATTCCTTTGCCTAATATAAAAGCCTTCCTAATATAAAAGTAAACTGGTAATTGCTCAATATTGTGCATGTGCAGTTACTGATGAGAAATTACTCATCTGTTTGCTCAATGCAAAAGAGTTAATGTAAAATTGTTTATTTCGCAATGCAATAGAGCAGGTCTCAGCTTGTGTTATCTTGTGTTCTTTTTATTTCGCAATGCAATAGAGCAGGTCTCAGATTGTTGTAAATTTGCTGCTTTTGCAGGTGAATACATTCCCTATCACCGTCATGTTTGGCATATGCTCTATTTTCCTATTCATTACTTCCATTTTGCAAAGGCGGTTGATGATTGTTGCTGAGGCCCATAGATCAAGTAAGTTGAACATTACCTCAGAGATTTCTTATTTCTACTCGACAGCTTAAGCCTTAGTTATTGATGTTATCCAAAGATGTGAAGGCATGTACTCGACATCTTAAGCCTTTATGGTTTTGAGAGTTGTATTCAAATATGATGATTTGGGAGACTTGTATCCAAATAGGTGAGATTTGGGGAATTTGTATCCAAAATACGATGATTTTGGGGGATTTGTTACCAATACATGAGAATTGAGGGAGCACTATTTCAATATATGTTCAGGCCTATAAGACATCCTCTGTCTTTTCTCTAAACTGTTAATCTGACGGTAGTTTGATCACTGTTAGCTTCTGGGTACACAGGAATCTTTCTTCATTGTGATAGAGAGTTATGTTGGTTTACTTCTAAGTTATGACTATATTGGAGCTCACATCTTCGTTTATGTTTTACTTTTTATAGTTTTAGATATAATTTGTAGCAAATTCTGTCTGTGGACCTTTATATCATGTTGTAGTGTATTCTCAAATAATGATATGTTGCCTTTCTTGCTTGGTAGATTTTTCAGCAGTTATTGTATATACAAACTTACCAAAAGAATGTTAAGACTTCATTTTGTAGGTTTTTGATGTTTATATTCTACTTATTTAAAAAATTTTGAATTAATTTCAAGGGATGAAGGATGTGAGATTGATGTTTTGATGGGCTCACTAAAGTCAAAAACCAAGGACTTCAGCATATTTTTCTCTCTCTTTGGTTAAGATTCTCTATATATGAAATTGATTGTAATAGATTTTGTTGGTTAAGATTTTTTATATGAAATAGATTGTAATAGACTTTGTGACTAGAAATGGATTATACTTTATATTAGGAATATCATGACATTTACTTTAGATTTGTTTTGGTTCTTTCATTGACTTTTCTTTCTGCAAATATTATGTGTGAGAAATGTTGTTCTTTAATTAGCGGAATTGTGGTTGTGCTTCTGCTTGTTAATATTTACAAACTCGATGTTGATGGCCACTCAAGTTTTTGTGTTAGGAAATTGCCAATTTTTTTAAATACATATTTATTAACCTGTTACTTTTTAAGATATGAATGATACTAATTTTGAATAATTATGCTTGAATTGCATCATTGGCTAGAGCTTATTCGGAATCATCTTTCTTCACCCGAGGTTATGAATAACTTGCAAGTCCAAGACCATGTAAGATTATATGCAAGATTAGGGTCATCGTAAATTTGATTAAATTTTCTTGAGTTAAGATTGTGCAAACATGTTAAGTAACTTGTAAATTGTTTGAAAATATGATAGAATCATAATTTAATTTAATTATTTTTTGTAAATTATTTAAAATTTGAATCTAATTCCAAAAAATATGAATTAAAATTATGTTGTGATAATTTTCTTCCTCTTTTCTCAGAAAGGTAACCAAACAAGAGAAAATGACTTTCTTATGAATTTTCTTCTAACTTTCCTTACAATATTCTTTCTAACCAAACAATAAAAAGAATATCATTTTCTTTTTGTTTTCTTTTCCTTATTTTTTACTTTCTCTTTCTTTTTCTTTTCTTTCCCTTTCTTTCAAACCAAACATAGCCTAAAAGAAAAATAATACTAGAAATTAAAAAGGGCATCTCAGACCTTACTTTTTTTTGTTTCTCTTTCCATTTTTCATTATTCCCTAGCCCTTTTCTTCCCGCCATTTCCTTTTGCTTTACCATAAAATTTCAGGATACCGAAAACATAGAAGAAAGGAAGATTTTAATAAATTTTCTGACTTTGGTGCTCCTAAATAGTTCTTAATTTAGTTTTTATTTAAAGTATAAAAGTTAATCATTTATCTCTCATCTTCTTCCTTAGTATTATATAATTACACCAATGTGGAGCGAAATATTCTAATACATCATTAAAAAACATCAACATGCTAACGCACAAAATGAAAATTGAGAACTTGATTCCACTTCAAAGTTTCTCTGAATCCATTCTTGACAAAATTTCCTTTCCTCTAAAATAATCTCTTTCTCCAGTCATGAAACCTTCTCAATAATTAATCAACGACTTCTTCATATGCAAGGAAATCTTCAAATCCCATTGCTCTTCTTCGCATCCGTAATGAAAATTTTAACAGTTTAGATTTAAGAAAGAGGGGGAGAGATGGAATTCAAAATGAAGATGAAAACAATTTGGGTCCTCCCTTTTATTTGTCCATGGATATAATCCCAATCCAACGCAAATATAGGGGTGTCAATCCCCAAGTAGAAATAGTTGTGATCCACGAATTTGCAGCATAGCAATTAAAAGCCATTAAAACAAAAGTTTTCCAGGAAAAGACTTGAGATTAATTTGAAGAAAGAAGAAGAAGCCCATGTTAAATATCAAATTTAATTCATTTGAGCAAAGTTAAAATCACTTGCCTTGATTCTAGGATATTTGCCTTGATCTTCTAGCCTCAAATAGTCCTTCATTTCATTGGCAAACCAATGGTTCTCTTGAAATGATTAAAATTGCTATTAGATCCCCAAATTCTTGACGTTATTTATTTATTTATTTATTTTTGAAATTAGTCACTCAAATTAGAA